TAGATGAACCATCCAACTATTTGTCATGATATATGTTGATATGTTCGATCATTAAATAACCTTCCACTGTATTGCCAACAAGTTGTCTACATTGTATTATTTTCAGAACACTATACCTAGATTCATCGTAACTGGGGTAACATTCCATTAAATTCGAAACTTTTCTTGGAGGAAAATATTAATATGTTTGATATTTTATGAGAGATAAATGTATAAGCTTCAAAATAGAAAAGATTGCGCAGCCATAGTGATTGACAGTATGTAGTGCGCATTGAGAAAATAAGGTGCTCTCTATTTCGTCATGTTCAATATTTTGGTCAACTATGCCTGCTGAAAATTTGATGGCGGGGAACACATGGGACTTCAAAGGCATCGCGCAAACTTTCTTTATCTTTTTATGATCTTGGTTCATTTGCATAGCGCTGCGTGCGCGTGGCTTTGCCGAGTGATCTCCTTCTCAATAATACCTCCATGGTAGTACAGTGCTTTTATCTCCATGATGTGAACACAAAATAGAAAACTGCAAATGCTTAAAACTAAACACGCCTTGTTTTAAATGCTGAGACACACGTTAAATATATATTTAATTTTAATAAACTTTATCTTATAAGGCATGTAATCAAAATATTGAATCAGGGTTTGTGTCAGTTCAGTTTATATATTTGATAAATTCTAAGGTTTTCTAACTTAAATTCTAATTAAAATTATGTTATGCAGAGATACACGAGGAAATTCGTCCTGAACTATGTGCGTATTTGGTATTGATGCGACCAATAACGTCCTCAATATGAATGAATATGAATGCCGTCATTTCCCTAATTCAAAAGTCCAAAATTAATTTTTATGTAATAATATATGCAATTCAATAAACTTAAAATACACTTATGTAAGCAAAATATTGAATCAAGGTTCGTGTCAGTTTAATGTCTTATTTGATCAATTATGGTTTGTCGTAAGATACATTCTAACTAGAATTATGTTAGACAGAGAAATACATGAGGAAATTCGTCCTGAACAATGTGCGTATCTGGTATTGATACACCAATAACGTCCTTTAATTCGTGTAAGTAAAGTGCCGTCATTTACAAATTCAGAAGTCCAACAAGCAACAAAACTTGATTTTTATGCAAGAATATATTGTTTTCAATAAACTTAAAATAGCCTTGTAAACAATGTATTATATCAGTGTTCGTGTTAGTTCATAATGGCTTGTCAAGTTAAATTCCAAATAGAATTATGTTAGGCAGAGGTACACAAGGAAATTCGTCTTGAAATACGTGCGTATCATATTGATGCAACCGATAACGTCCTATCGTGTAAGCTGAATTTACAAATTCAAAAGTCCCAAAAAACATGTATTGTTTTTTGCAAGAATATATTTAATTAAATAAACCTAAAATTGACTTGTAATCAAAGTAATGAATTAACCTTTGCTTAACAATGGGCTTAGAGCTTCAAAAGAGCTTTCTTTGTTTTTGTAGGTATCTTTGATCATTAGAGTAAGAATGCTTTGATCTTTTGTTTAAATCACTGCTATGTCACCTACTAGAGGTAATGTTTTGATTGGCTAAACACTTTTGGTACTAGTGCATATAAGCTTGCTAATATGGATAATTTTTCATTCCTGATGATGACATAATTAATGTCGAAATATTGAATCCCAACACGATGGCGTGTATTTCAATACTTGGAGTATGTATTATACTTTCTTATCTGTGTTAGTGTGTTATTTGGATTTTGTCTATAGTTTTAACTAGAATTCTGTATTTGGATATTAGGCAGAGAAACAAGAGGAATTTCGTCCTGAACTATGTGCGTATCTGGTATTGATAACGACCAATAACGTCCTCGTGTAAATGACATGATTATTATTTCCATGTCGTTATTTGGGAAATTCAAAAGTCCAATACAGAACTTCATAAATTTCCAGACAAATTTGAATTTTTTTTCTCGACTGTGGGAGGGGCTAGGATTCCCTGACTAGCCCCTAGGGGGGATGAAACCCTGAGAGGCGGTTCTACTGCTGACACAAACCTAAACTTAAAGTTTATTACAGTATTCAAAAAAGTCTATGTAAATTCTTAATTTCTACCACATTCATAATATTCATGTCTCAGAAATTTCTGTGCGTCGCCTGGACCCCTTAAAGATGTTCGGGTGTGGACTTATTGTCTGGGGGCTTGGACCCCTCATCAGGAAATTCCTGGTGCCGCCCCTGTTGGATCACAAACTTCTAAGAGTTCCTTGTCACTATGGTTCAATACTTCAGTACGTGTTACATGTTTCCATAAGGAAAATATTTGTTTATTATTCTGAACAAAATTTTAAAGCAAGGTTCAAAACAAACAAAAAACTGAAACTATACTCACTTTCAACAATTATTGTGACTGTATCAGATTCTGGTGAAGGTGGATCATCAATAAGACTAACAAAACATTCATAGGTGCCATGATCATCTTGCATCGTGTCATCAATAACCAGAGTGAGTTTAGAGTCATCTCCTTCAAGACTAAATCTTTTGTTATAAGGCGGTTGCACAGAACCAGGGGTCCTCTGATACTCCACTATTGTCACAGATGAACCGTTCACAACCTTTAGCCATGTAATAAATGGATCTCTAGTGCTTGCAATACTATTTTTTTGAATGGTACAATCTAATCGTGTTTCTTGACCTTCAACAACTTTTCCATCAACAGATACAGTGACAATTACAGAAGAACATAAACTGAAAACACTAAAAATAAAAATGTTAATGTAGTACAGACAACTTTGTTGCCTTTTGCAATAATAATAAATAGCTGATCCTGTCTTTTGTCATATCAAGTCAACATTATTCACAAATGAAGAACAATTGCATTCTGGGCCAACATACATGAGAAGTTATCTGCGCTCAAAATAGCCACTTTGTTTAATGACGCAATTTGTTTGTGATTTTCAATGTCACCCTGTGTCCATATGAGCGAGTGTATACATCTTTTATTAAAGATCTATTATCGATGAGTAGTTGTCTCTAGCCACAAGCAAGCACAGGCTGATGAAATGAATTAAAAAATGGAATGGCATCCATTAATCAATGGTCAAATGCTAATAAACTACCTTTAAATCCATCTAAATGTGCAGTGATGCATGTGACAAGATGTATAAAGCATTTAGATTATTGGGACTACTCTATTGAGTCAGAAGTTATACCTAAAGTTGATGAATTTAAATTTCTTGGTGTTTATGTAAATAGTAGACTAACATGTCATGCTCAAATTAATTATATATGTTGTAAAGCAAGCAAACGTCTTGGTTTCATTACCAGGTGTAGCAGGAATATGTCCTGGGTAGCTATGCTAAACTTATACAAAGCTCTGGTATTACCAGTTGTCACCTATTGTTGTTCTATGTGGGCACCGGCTGAAAAATCCCATATAAATAGAATTGAAAGCATACAGAGAAAGGCAACAAGAATTATAATGTTTAGGAAAGAAAATTCATGGGAGACATCTTATTGCTATAGGTTGAAAACTCTTAACATTCTGAGTATTGATGATTTATTTAAGCTACATAAACTTGCATTAGGATTTAAGGTTTTGAATGGTTTTTGTCCTCCTACATTTAATGAATATATCAAAATTAGTGAAAGATGTGAGGGCAGACTTTTACATTGGAAAGTGAAAAGCAATACATTTTTAAATTCTGTTTTTGTATCTTTCCCTAGGTTATGGGAACAAGTACCACCTGTAATTCAAAATTCTTCATCAATCTCATCTTTTAAATCTGCTCTAATTAAGTACTATATTTCATTATATTAGTTGTACTTTATTGTATTTTGTTTGTAATTTTTTGTTTAGTGCTTTTATATTTTTGTTTTTGTATAATTACAAAACTTGATTGGTGTTCAGTTCATTTTTGTATAAGGTGGAGTGAGTGCAGTATCTGTTTGGGCTTGTACCTATTCTCACTCCGGGCTTAAATTGTACTTGATGATTGCCAAATAAATATTATTATTCAAAGCCGGGACCAGCCCTAAAAAAGTGAAAAAAGCCTATGTTTTCCATTAACGGTTCGTCATGTGGACAGTTAAAATCTTTTCTTAAATTTACACCAGTTAATCAGATATATTAGATCTACTTATACCACAAATTTCAACTTTAGTACTCAGCTCCTTCATGGTTAGATACTATGTTGAAAACTACACATATTTTAACAGGGGCGGATCCAGAGATGTCCAAAAGGGGGGGCCGAACCAAAAGGGGGGGCCGAAAGGGGGGGGGGGCCGAAATTTGGGCCGATCGAGACAACAATGCCCTAGGGGGTCCGCGAAATTTTTGTGTTCTAGACGCCCGAAAATAACATTTGAGGCGTTGTGGGCTATCATTTTTTTCTTTTTCCTCCTTTTTTTCTTTTTTTCACCTCCCAAAAGGGGGGCCGGGGCCGGGCCGGCCCCCCCCCTAAATCCGCCCCTGTTTAATGTAATCCGAAATAACAAAAGTTTTTAAGAGTTGGGTCATTCCATGCCATGGGATCATAGATTAAAAAAATTTTTTATACTGACAGTTATTCATGTGAATTGAAAAACCTGAAACTTTTAGACTCCAATTCCTGTTTGTTTTCCTGTAGCGGCAGTTTGATGTAAAAGGGGATGTGGCACAAAATAGTGCACCGTGAAACTAACTTTGATTTTCGTATGCTAATATCTTCAGAAGTACAACAAAAATTATCAATATCACTTTTCAGACAATTTAAAGCATGTATCAGGTCATTTCTCAGCATTCCAAAACTTTAAACAATGTACGTGCCATACAATCATTTCCACGCGCACAGCCCGTACTGATCCCAGAATTTACGTTTTGTTACATATTTTAAGTTCCTGACACTGTATTCATATCAGGAGTCTTTTTGTGTCATTACCATGCTCATGGGCATCAAGAAGTGCATGTGCGCATGCGTAAATCTTTTAAATGGTCAAAATTACTCTTTTTTTTTTTTTTAAACTAATTAAAGCATATTTTAGCATATAAAACTTTTCAATTAGAACCGCGCATGCTTTTTGAGGGTCAAAGTACGGCGGATCACATAACTCGTCCTCAGTGACGAATTCACTAGTTTATTTTGGAAATAAAAAAATCATGCAAATACAATGCACAGCATTGCAAGAATTTCTTTTTCAAATACCATACCAAAAACAACCCCACTACTGGTGGAATGTAGAAAGGTGGTCAAATAAATACCGTGCCCGGGCGCTTAAAATATTTTTTGTACTTTTAGAGGGCGCTTATTTAAACGGATAAATATCCTCATTTAACAGGGAATGTGATTCCACTCTACACCTGAAATCATGCCAATTCCACAGTCCCAGGATTGATTGGATTATTGAGGGGGCGTTTATTCAAATTAGACGGGGGCGCTTATTCAAACAGGGCGCTTAAGGAAATATTTACGTTAGGAGGCTGCTTATTCGAGAGGGGCGCTTATTCAAATGGGGCGCTTATTCGCGCGAGTACGGTATGGCTACTGAATGTTGTAACATTGTCTAACCATCAAAATCAAGTTCTCTTGAAAATCTTAACCTAAGGAAGACGCAGATTCAGAAATGTCTACCTTATTCCAAAGGTTTCATGGAAACAAACAATAAATACCTGATCGTAAGCGTAGCTGTAATAAAAAGCATTGACATCTTGTGGGCATACCTGCAAAATAGAAGTTGAAAATAGAAATTCGGCAAATAAAATAGCTTAAAAGTATTGTTTCGTAATAAAATAAACAATACCAAAATATTACATTTGGTTTATTTTATTTCTTGTCATGAAAAACTATATTGAACAAAAACATATACCTATTTAATATATTATTGCAATTGCAAGTGTACCATACCAGTGTTCTCCCCAGGATGAGGGTCAAGCATCATTGTACGCTCCCCCCCCCCACTCACTCTTCTTCAAACTAGGATACATGGACAGCAATGTTTATTTTGAATTATTTTAATGACGATATTTCAAAGCATCACGGAAGACGCATCAAGCGTCATGGCCAGCTTGGGAGCATCACAGTGCACCGTGACGAAGTCCCAAGGTACCGCGACGCTTCAAGGGCCTGGGGAGAACACTGCATACCATATATACTCGTCTTAAGACAAGGCTTGAGATAGCAAATTAAGATAAAAAAACTGGGGGTTGTCATACGAGCGGCATACAAATTATATATATATATGTTAGTATGAATTATTGCAATTTTAAATATGGGGAAATAAGATATTGATAACCATTTAAAAACTCATAAAATTCAGTCCATCATGTATGTAAAATTCGGAAGAGCCCAGAATTGCTCTCCTCAGAACTGCTCTCCTCGCAAAAAAATCGCAAATTGCTCTTCTTGTGTATTCCAGGAGCAGGGGTCCCCAAGTTGAACTCCATTCGCAGGAGATTTTGTCAGGAACCTTTGACTGATTGCAATTACAAAGCGCGTCACGTTGCAGCCAATACGCAACTACTCATAATATCAAATACTTGATATTCAATGATCAAAGAAACAGTTAAATTGCTAGCTCTTGCTATCATTTTTATTTACACAATGTAAATTAATACTAGGAAATTACAAAAATTCTAGAATCTACTACTCTGTACAGTAGGCCTTGTAGAATGCGAAACAACTTCAAATTAAAAATTAATACCAATGGAATCAGCATTAAGATGTTATGTAAATTTAATCGTTCAAACGTAGAAAGGATGATAAAGGAAACGGTGAAAAATGGTATAACAGTAGTACAGTAGTAACGGGACGATGACGAGACGTCAATCGAATACGAGAAGAACAACGTCAACGAGTATGAGTATGTGATTCACTGAAACGTGAAATAACCATAAAATACAAATAGCATAAAGCAATACAATAATGTTAAATGAAAGTATTTTAGCTTTAAATTAATAATACATTCATCCTTGACAATCTTATCTCTTGAAATTAAAGTTTGCCTATAATTTATTATAACAATAATATGCTTTATACGTCCATGGAAACATGCGTGCGTACACACGCGGCTGCCGAGACAACCCGCCGAAGAAGAAGACGTTAGCATACGCCTACACATTCAAACAGGTTGAAATGCCATTTATCGATTTAATCATCAATTAAAACTAACAGTATTTCAATACTTAAAAGATTAACATATAAAATGATCGAGATAGCTCAATCTACATCTATCAGAGTATTCTTACAACTAAACATTATTACTTTAAACTCTGGTTAAATAATGATTTATCATAAAACTAATCATCGAATCACAAACAATCAATGTCAATCATAAAGATCTATACAAAAAGATAGCGTAAAATACGTTCGCTTGCCTAGGTTTATTTAACATTCAATTTATGCATTCTTAACTTAGTTTTAATCAATATACAGCGTGAATCAACTCACCAAAGTTTTGTAGACATTTCAATTAAAGATTTCGCAACTCTACAGATTCTAGATGGCAAGGCAGGCTAAATTAAG